GAGGGACGCGTGTTCTTGGGAGTAATGCACCCATCCACTGTAGTTGATGCAGTAAGTACATGCAGCAAACTGGCACAAGTACGATACCCAGTAAGCGTTGTCTGCATCTGATATGACTTTCGCGTGTGCTCCAGGTCGCCTCCGATGGCAGCAGAAGTGATCATTTGAACGTTATCATAAGAAACACAAGCAGACCCCTGTATGTGCGACGAGGCCTGACCCAAGCCTCGCAGTTACTGTCAGAAGCACAGGACTCAGGCGAGGCTGCACCCCGTCGCAACAAAGTCATTCTACGACAATAGATTAGCCGGCCGCTTGGAAATGCAGGAAAACAGGCATACAAGCAGGGTGTTAGAGCAACAGAGAGAAACTTGGGTGTAGGGTAGGTTGCTGTCCTTGATGGGGGTGCAAGTGACTGCAGGCGATGAGGATGGTAGCGTCAGAGGAAGTAGCACTACGTACGACCGACTTGCCCTGAGACGTCTGTGATGCCTAGGAGGCCCAGGACCGGGGCGATGGTGGGATCGCTGGCCTAACCGCGGAATACTATCAACAAAATGTGTTTGAGCAGATGGGGTGAGTTCCTCACGTTCCCAAAGGAACCGCAGCAAAACGGCAGCGTGCCGGGGGGGCATGCCCATGCCACGGCAGCAAAGAGGGGGAGCGCGAGGAGCATGGTAGCAGCAGTGTGGGCGAACATGATGCGGGCGGGGTGATGAGGCCAAAGAACTAGCTGAACTGCCGCTTTTAAAGCTTTTCAGATGGGATTCGGAATGCTTTGAAGCGATTGGAAGTGTGGTTTAATGGCACCTGAGAGGGTCATGCTCGAGATGCGGCCTTGTGGAGTTGACAGTTCTGCAAATATATATGTCAGGAAGTTAGGTTTAGGATGTGAAGATGATACTTACTTAGAGGCAGTTAGGCGCCCTCGAGCATATTGATGCTGGCCAGCCGCACATACAGTGCCCATATAGTCGACAGTGACTTGGAGCACTAAGCGCCTATTCTCAACTGTATTATGCATTCCGGGCTTGGCGTTTGTTTCATAAAATTGAGGGAATTGATGCAGTTATGCCAGAATTGGTGACCGAGGAAGATCAGGAGGCAAAAACCAACTGAAGAACATGCTGCGGATAGACTGGAAGGGAGAGCTGAGGGAGACAGGAGCTCGAATTGGAGGAGTAATGTGATGGCTCCCGAGGAACGATTCACAGACAAAGCAGGCTCAAGTTAATCCAGCAATGGTTGTAAACGGCCGAGCTCGGCGAGTGTTCAGTTCTAAATATTGCAGTCGTTTCTCAAGCGAGGAGTCGACGGCTTCAAGTTTTGGAAAGGAACAGAAGCTGAATGCAGCAACTTCATCAACAGGCACAAATAAATTGTTCCCGTCCAAAGGCGTCACCCGTTGAGCGAAGGTCTCTCAGGTCAGGATTTGTCCAGCTCTGGTCTAACTAGAGTCTCACCATCACAGCTCTCACTCCGCACAATAAAAAAAGGAACGAAAGATGGGAGCCGGTGCGCCTTTACACCCTTCAGTTTCCATTGGCAAGCGCTAACCTACGCGCTTATTATTTTTTTGACCTTCACTGCCCTGCTCCGAATTCTCGACGTCACTGCCATCCACTATACCTGTTATATCGACTTGGCTCCAGGATGGTTATTCCTGTTTGCGGTCTTTATGGCCGCTGCTCTGCTCTTTGGAATGATCTACTTCGTGAGCCCATTACAATCGTCACCGCCCCACAACTACTGTGCTGATGCAATGCCTCGCAGATCATAATGTTTTCGGATCTGGAGAGCGACTATGTGAACCCGATAGACTTGTGCAATAAGCTTAACCAGGTGCGTGGCTTGCCGAGGGAGGAGTCAAGGCTCATGCTCACGTTGTATGTGTCTTGGCAGCTTGTGATTCCAGAAGGCGCTGCACACGCCTTCCTGGCGCTCTTGTTTCTTCTATGGGGGCAGTGGTCAGCACTGGCATGGAATCTACCGCTGTTGGCGTATAACGTGAATAAGTACGTCTCACATTGCAACTCTCGCTAATACCTTGCCGCTGACACCGTCGTATAGACTAATAAATAAGAACCACATGTACGACGCGACGGAGATCTTCCGGTCGCTCGAAGTGCACAAGAAGGAGAGCTTCTACAAGACTGGGTTCTACACATTATCCTTCTTCTACTATCTATACAGGTATGTGAACTCGTCTCTCTTTCCTTCCGATACCCGTTGAGCTTATCGTCCTAGGATGATTGCGGCTCTCGTTGCGGATAGCGAATGAAGGGATCTATTTTTTGGTAATCTAGTGGATAATGTAATATACGTATTTAGATGCGTCGCCATTTCATTGCTTTCTCAGTCTTGGTGTAAAGAACGCGTATCCAGCCAATGAGGACGCCTGTCACAACGTTACAAATACCACGTGCTTGCTGGCAACCCAACGCAACGTCAGCCTGAACCCTCTGCTTGTGCCCCAACTATCCTCGCGTGTAACGAACCCAGACTTCTGGACTGTACTATCCATCCCAGCGTCCTCTCCTGTACAGAATATCTACGACTTATTTTCTTTCGACCAACTTATTTGACGATTTCAACATGGGTGGAGCTGGTGCGCGTCTTGTTTAGTTTTGAAAAGCAAATGGGCTTACTGACATTCTCTCTGATTTCCTTCTCCTATATCTCTGGCTGCGCGCCATCTCGTCACTTCTTGCTGCCCTTCACAACACCCAATACGATAACGAACTCATGCACGAAAAACGAAAAACGAAAAACGAAAAACTGCGACTCCGGAATGTAAACGCATTATCGTGGTTGCGTCGCAAAAGGCTGGCTGTTTCTGTTCGCTGTGCTTATGGCAGCAGGATTGCTCTTCTGCATGGTGTTCTTCGTGCGTTGCCTTTTCTCCTGGCTCAGGTGACGCTTTGCTCACATGTCTGACTTGCACAGATAATCATGTTTTCTGACCTGGAATGCGACTACATCAACCCGATAGACCTCTGTAATAAGCTCAACCAGGTGTCTATCCCTCTCAATCCCTTATCCACTAAAACGCTAACACAACATAGTTTGTTCTTCCCGAAAACAGTGCCCATGCTTTCCTTACACTGCTGTTCCTCCTATCCGGGCAATGGGTAGCATTCATCCTAAATGCCCCTCTAGTGGCATACAACGCAAATAAGCAAGTACCGGCCGACCACATCCCCGCGCCCCACGGCTGACTTTTGCCTCCGCAGAATTTTGACAAAGGCACACATGTATGACGCAACAGAGATTTTCAGGACGCTAGGTGTGCACAAGAAAGAAAGTTTTATCAAGCTCGGGTTCTACCTGCTTTCTTTCTTCTACTACCTTTACCGGTACGTGTTACCTGTGTAATACGTGGTTGTCTGCCCTAACAGCTTCTCTACAGAATGATCGTTGCGCTCATTGCGGAAAGCGAGTAGATGGTGCTGCCATACCCGCCCTTCCTTCATGACGTGACGAACCTGGTTTTACGAGCGCGATGGGGTCTCAGAGGAGATGCGAGGGATAGTTCACCCTTAGGATACAAGCAAGGACTTGCGGTGCAATGCGCACTCCATGCTGAATTTTAGCCTGTCATTCGTGTAAAGCAGGATTGGTCAATATTGGATGCTTTCGGAGTTCGGCTACACGGATTTGTGCATTGTGGCGGACAGAGGACGAGGGCCGACGAGGGTGAAAAAAAGTTTGTGTGTGCTATTTTCGTCGCTATTCAGCGATCGGCGGCACCTGCTGCGCCTCCCGCCCGTGTTGGCCTCAGATCGGGATTGCCAAAAATGACCATGCGCCTCCCGCTTTTTCTGCTAAAAAAATTGTATTGAATTCATTGCTGATCGAGCACCCCCGAATTTTTTCAGGGTGGCTACCTCCCACTCTGTCTGTATCTGCCTAGGCCTACTGCCACTATTCTTTCATAGGTTTTCCGGAAGAAGAAAAAACTAAAATAGCCGCGCAAGGTGAGACCACCTCCTATAAAGGTTGCGTGCAAGAGGTTTGGTTTCGACTTCATTCTTTCCTTCCCCCAGGACCCACCCCACATTCATTTACCCATTCCGATCCTTACGACTCTCGTTTCATCGATGTCTTCCTCTTTCGGGTTCTGCATGATCTTCGCCGCCTGCCTCGCGCTGTTCTTCTCCGCCTTCACCCTTGCGGCCCCGACGTCTGATCTCGAGAAGCGCGACTACTCCGGCAGGGTCAGTTATATTCAGCTGTGCCCACTTCCACTTATACTGACCGTGTTCGCTCAGGCCACATATTTCTACGTCGGCCTCGGTAGCTGCGGCCAGACCAACATCGACAGTGACTACATTGTTGCTCTCAACCCCACCACCTATGCCGGCGGTGCACACTGCGGAAAGGTATGTATTGGCTAGGGTATGATCGCACTTGGAGACTAATGTTTATACATTTCCTTCAAGAAAATCCAAATCACCGACAATTCTGGCAACCATGCCGTTGCCACCGTTCGGGATACCTGCCCTGGCTGCAGTTCCGGTGACCTAGGTATGTCCTTTTCACGAACATGTTCTGCTCTGTACTCACCACGCATCTGTATAGACATGTCCCCTTCCCTCTTCAAACACTTCGAGAGCTTGAGCAAAGGCACCTTCGAGGTCGAGTGGGAGTTCCTCTAAACTACGTGCACTCGCGAGTGTAATGTACAATATACAACGGAATGTATATTAATTAGAGACACGGAGCACCTTGTGCTATTGCTGGTCTTTGCACGGGAGCTGTCATGTCGAGTGTGACAGTATTCATATGTCAGGTCTTTCCGCACCCGCGAAAATTCAGTATACTTGTGAAATTCTCGTGTTCTTTATTTCAAGAAACGTGCAACAGGTTTCCGGGACTGTGGACCCAAAGTTCAAACGCGAAGAACAGCAAGATTATCACATGGGCAAAATTCAAATAGACATTGCTATCAGCCATTCCACTATAGACAAATAACAAGAAGGGTAAAAAAACAATGATTATGACCACCGCAGGGCTCGAACCTGCAACCTCTTGGTATTCTGGTGTCGTTCAGCGATCGAAGCCAAACGCGCTACCATTGCGCCAGGTAGCCATAAAAAATCCCGCGCACTGTACCCAATATACTTTTAGCGCCACAGGACGTCTTGATCACTCGCCGCTACCAAGACAAAGGATTTTGAGGAATATCCCACAAGGACAGATGGTGAAATATTGTCACTACGTCAAAAGTTTCACAGTATCGATGGGACGCGCAACGTTGAACGCGTGTCTAATCACGCGTATCCCAACATTGATCTTGTGATCCCAAGTGATGTCCCAAAGCGGAAATAAGATATACTTATGATCATTGATCCATTCAATTCAAGGTGACACCCTTGACTCCCAGTGAAAAGTCCGTTGAGCCAAAACAAGCGGGAACAAGTCAAATTGGCCCCGCGAGTACACGCCTGAACCTGCTCGATTCGACTCCGCCTGTCTCGATATTTGGGCCGTTTGTTCAGCCAGAACAAGCCGTATCGAGCCAGGTCAACCGATTGTCTTCGACCTCGTTTTCGCTCGATTGATATTTAGGTCCATTCATTTTTGCTCGATTCCAGTGGTATGGTAGAACAATATCATTTGGACGCACTCAAGTACAAATTGTAGCTATGTAATATACAGTCAAAGGTTCCCCCACTACAACCTAGCCATTGTCCCCTGTACATGTCAACGCCCCCGCCTTCAAAAACCGCGCGGCGCGTCTTCGTCTGACATTCCTCCATCTTCCTCCACCTTTTGTCGTTGTCAACGCACTGCTAAGAGAGTATAAACATGCGCAGGAAGTAGAATACTAAAGGACTTACCATCAGAATCCGGCATGTGATGTGCTTATCCAACTGATACCCTGGTTAGTAGAAATCGGAGGCAGCTGTATGTATGATACGTACCTGTCAGTAATACAACGATCACACCCTAGAGAGCCTGAATATGTGAGTCGCAACCCGCGGTGAGAGTGAATATATGCGCACCTAGCCCTACGTCGTGTGATTTCCCGCCTCCTCAACTTCGTCCACTCTCGATACTTGTGCTTGATTGGTGGTCCTGGATGTGGCGAGGGCTTGCGTGTGGTGTCTGGGCGGCACTTCCACGGTTGGCGTTAGGGAGGAGGGGATGGTGGGCAGCGATGACGGGGTCGAGGGCAAAAGTGGGTGGTGATCATGGTGGTACGGCAAAGAAGAGCGAATAAGCTCATCGAGGTATCGACGAAGGTTATATAGGTGCTCACGTAATGATGTAATGGCGTCATCACAACGATGCAGCCGAAGACAAGGCAGGGACAAGGTCAGTCAGTCCAGTTGACGCCTTGAAATTGATTCCAGCACAAGTTCGAGAATTCAGTTGACTTGAATTTCCATGAGCAAGGTCAAAGGAAGAGCAAGTCAAACAGATCACTGACGTTAACCACAGATCAAAAAGTCAAATCAGATTGGTATAAGATTGGAACATCTTATCAGCTCGATTCCTCTCGATTCATTCCGAATCGGCTCGTTCGGGCTTGTATCGGCTCAACAGACTTTTCACTGGGCTTGACTCGTCACTCTTGATTTCTTCTCCGTCGACTTCTTATACTCTGCCACTATGGGCGTACATGGTTTGACCACCTATCTGCGTGAAAACCAACGCTTACTTTCCACTACCTTGAATCTACCATCGAAATCATCCTCTGACCCAATTCCAATTGTTGTCGACGGTTGGTCGTAAGTTAGATTCAATAGCCTGACAATCTACGCCCGTTAACGACGCAGGTTTATCTATGACCTGCACCGAAACTCAAATCTACCTTGGGTATACGGTGGCGAATACTCTCAATTCTCTGATCTTGTTGCTGTGGTGGTGAATGCTTGGATCAAAGTCGGACTCAAGATCTATTTCGTTTTCGATGGTCTGTTGGAACCTGTCATGCATGTTTTTAACTCACGATCAGAATGTTAGGTCCAACCCCTGAAATAAAATTTTCGACCCTAGTCTCTCGACTGGGGCAGTCGCATGTGCAACCATCCCTTCTATTTTTTCGTACATCCCCAACTTCTCGTGGGGCCGCCCGTTTCTTAAATGAGACACGTATCATTCCCCCCTTGGCGTACACAGCTTGCGTTACTGCGCTGAAGACCCTTCGAAAATCCACGGATGCCGTCGAACTCCATTTCGCGGATGAAGAAGGGGATCCTTACGCCGTTGAGCTTGCCGGCAGGATCGGTGGTTACGTGGTCGGGAACGACTCTGATTTTGTCGTTCTCAACACTGAAGGTTACCTCGGATACATACCTTTGGAAGAGATGACGTGGTGTGCGCCATTATCTCCAGAGACCCCCTCTCATGATGAGGATAGTGGCTTTCAAGAAGTCCGGAAACCCAAGGCTAAACGGCGACCTGTAGCTGATGGAAACGTCGGTCGAGGAATAATACCACCAGATGTTGAGGAACCGGCACTGTCGTTCACCGTGTACAAGCCTGAGTTGCTTGCATCGCACTTGAAAATACCGGTCACACTTTTACCGCTGCTCGGCGCCTTGGTCGGCAATGATTTCACTGCCCAATCAGAATCGAGCCGTCGGCATGTCCAGTCATTATTTTTTGACAGGCAGCTTTCCTTGTCACACCGGATCACTCGGGTAGCCTCCACAATCCAGGCGATTTTGTCTCCTCTAATGCAGAGACGCCAAAAAGCAAAACACCAAGTCGGCAGTGTAATGGATCTCATCGATAGAGTGGTCAACTCGTTGCTTGCACGCTTGATTACCACGATCGGCTCAGGGGAGGTTGATAGTATCGTAGAGAAGATCGTGGAAGCCACGCTACAATATGCTATACCTAAACATGAGGACGACATCGTGCCGGCATCGTCTCAAATTTGTGCCCTACACCCAGAACATGCTTGTCCCCTTCTGCCCTTGATTTCTAGGCGGGTCGAGGCGGAGATTCCATCCGATTCGGAAGACCAAAATGAATCTTTACAGCATGCAATCGAGATACGCTTGCAATACTTGGAAGCTTTTCGACACGGTCATCTCTCCCCGAAGCTCCTCGACGTCCTTTCTTCTGGGACCTATTGGCCTCGCTTGTTCCTTGAGAACCCAGACCTTGAAACCGTCTCTCGGAGTATTGGGCGGCCAATTCGAGAGTGGATTTATTCAATTCTAGACAATTCCGTTGGTTTACCAAGAGCGTTGGACGAAGAGAGCGATACTGAGCCTGAGGAGATGGAGCCTGAGGTTGATGAAGAGGACTTAGACGAGCTCGTTGATGTTGTGGAGTCAGGTAGTGAGACTGACTCCAACGATGACGACCCATTGGCACCTCTGAAAGGGCAACTTCATCGAATCCATGACTCAAATGGTGTGTCTGCTATGACGCCGCAGCACCCATTCCACCCGTCAAGGCCGTCGATCGTTACGGAGTACCTTCGACGTGGGACTCGAGTGGCGCAAGAGGCAGTGACTGTTAAACCTATTTACGACCTTCTCGAATCGATCTCCCTTCCAGATCCTGACCCCATTCCAGTCACTTTACACCCTCTCGAAGACAGATTTACTATCCTGCTTCGAGCTCTGGACTCCGATGTTCCTCCCGTCAGATCACTCCCCAAGGAGCAGGTCCTTCCCGTCCTCGCCGTTCGATGGGTCATACGAACTATGCACCTTCGCGCAAAAGAGACGAAAAGTAAAGAACGTCAAAAGGAGCGATGGACCAGGCGTGAAGCAATCTGCCTGCTTGCCTCATTCACCCCAGCGCCTTCTTTGGATACTGCGCCTCAGGAAGCACCTACACCTGTTCTCGACCGCAATGTGCAACTAGTGGCTCAGGTGCTACAGTCCCTCGAGAACGTCGAGCAGCTGTCTCAGGCACTGTTGCTCACAAGTGTGCTGCCATCATCAGCACACCGCTTTTCAGGGAAAGCATTTCATAGAATGCTTACGGATAATTGTGCGCCTGAACCTGGAACAGTCTCATCAAATTTGATGGACGCCTCAAGTTTTGGGCTAGGCCATGCGTTCATCGGCGATCATTATGCACCGAAATCGAGAAAATCGAAGAGAGCTACCAGTCCGGTGCTCAAAACCACCACTAGCCTAGTACGAGGCGGTGGCCTTTTTGACGTACTTTCTGATGCCGCGTAGTTAAAATGTGACAGCCGTAATTGAATTTTTGGTACAAATGGACGCGCAGGCGGTGCACCCACACCGGTCTAGGCAGTTCGGCGCATCTAGAGTTTGGTCCTTATGGGGTTACCCCATTTGATAAGCTAAAATAGTTAGCATAGCCGCCAGGCTATGGTAGATGAACATAGGTGGGCTATGCATGTCTGTTGAATTTATATAGAGGCAACAATCATGCCCAGTTCAATACCAGCTACTGTTCTAAGCCATCCTTCTAACTCACTTTCTGCGCTCTCGCTACATCGTGCACTATGCCAGCCATGATATACCGCTCTGAACCCCCTATCCCTACCGACATCATCATATACAAGATGGGCGATAAATTCGTTTACATGAGACCCGCAGATGACTACGAGGTAAACCACACTGGTTATTCTGACCCTTCCAACACTGACAGTCGGTGCAGCAAGCATTAGACTATGCCCAAAAGGAATTCCCTGACGAGCTCCGGGGAGTAACGCGAGACCGCATCGAACTCTACACCATCGGGAAGGTGGACGGTCAGCGGCAGCTCGTGCGCATTTCAGCCGATGCATGGACCCCAACCGCGGCGAGGTTGATGCGCGGGGAAATTGTCTTTATATCTATCAAGCCGCTGCCATCCACAACCAAGGACGGTGAGGTAGCGCCGCCCCAGTATCTCGAAATCCCCCCACTCCACTTCACATCATCAACCCCACCGTCACCGAAGCGTACACCTTCACCACTACCAACAGCCAGGAGGTCGCGTTCTTGGTTTGGGAGGCGTTGACTGGTCGGGAAGAAGTGGGGGGTCGAAGGTGCAACCAAATGTCCAGATATACCCAGACATTTTTCCCACAATACCCTACTAGATAGAATTCAAATATACCATACATTATACCCGAAGTACATGCTACTGATACTCGATCTGAAG